ATTCTCTTGCCTCAGCCTCCCAAGTAGCTGGGACTACAGGCGCCCACCACAATGCCCAGCTATTTTTTGATTGCAGTTGTTTAGCTGGCCTGGGCCGCATTGGAACCAGCCAGCCTTAGTGTATGTGGTTGGCACCATAACCACTGTGCTATGGGCGCCGAGCCCTGTGATGGCACTCTTGAAATTTGAGTCTGTTTCCTCAAAAGACATCCAATCACATCCAGTCACTTGATACTGATTTTAAACATCTTCAAAAAACAAAACAAACATCTAGCCTCTCTAGAACAATCCTGGAAGGAAATGCTCCATAATGAGAAAGGCCCCCAGTGGTTTTCTTTTTGCCTTATACATTTGGCATTTTTCCGGTTTTCTTTCAGTGAACATGTAGTTTTGTGCTTAACAAAATAATTTTTTTCTAAAACACTACAATAAGTTGGGCAAAGTATGAAGCTAGATACGATAGTGTTTCTCATTTATCACATCTGTCACTGTTAACTCCTGCTTAACAAACTTGATGCTCTTAGGCAGTAAATCAGTCATAGCCCTGATGTTTCTTTCCAGAGCTTATTCACTGGAGAATTAGTATCAGAAAGTCCCTCTGGGGTGTTTGCTTTGTGCAAGAATGCTTCTAGCCCAGGATTTGTTTAGTAATCTTCAAATATTTCAGTATTCCTCTCTTTTTTGTTTGTTTGTTTGTTTGTTTGTTTTTGAGACAGAGTCTCATTATGTTGCCCCTCGGTAGAGTGCAGTGGCATCATGGCTCACAGCAATCTCAGACTCTTGGGCTTAAGCGATTCTCTTGCCTCAGCCTCCCAAGTAGCTGGGACTACAGGTGCCAGCCACAACGCCTGGCTATTTTTTGTTGCAGTTGCCATTGTTTTCGCAGGCCCCATGCTGAGTTCGAAACCACGAGGTTCGGTGTATGTGGCTGAACAGTAACCACTGTGCTATGGGCACCGAGCCTTGTTTTTTTCTTTTCAGACAGAGTCTCATTTTGTCACCCAGGCTACAGTGCAACTTCAAATTCCTGGGCCCAATCTATCCTGCCTTAGACTGCCAAGTAGCTGGGACTACAGACATACACCACCACAGCCAGCTAAATTTTCTATTTTTTGTCTTGCTTTTGTTCAGACTGGTCTTAAACCCCTGGTCAAAGTGATCCTCCTGCCTTGGCCTCCCAAAGTGCTAGGATTACAGACAGGAGCCACCATAGCCTACTCCACTTTTCTTTGGATTTTTCTCACACATCTCCATTCTAAGCAAAGGATATATAAGCACAGAATTGCAAAAACCATTTTTCCAAACCCTAACAGAGATAAGAGGGAAAATAAAAGAGATGGAAGAGGCGGGCAGCCTGGGTAAATAACTCTGATATTGCAGAATTTGGATCCCCAGGGTACTGTGATGGTTTATTGGAACAGAAGGCAGGCATTTCTCCACAGCCCAAGTCTTCATAAAAGCAAACTAGATATAACCCAACCCATTAGTCACGGACCACCGTTACCCACGTAGCCACTAACTGCGGAAATAAAACATGATGCTTTTAGTTCAGAGGGGTGTGGTTTTCATGAAAACATTCCAGGCGACATACAGGCACTCTCATTCATTGATAAATGTTGACAGTGACCGGTAATGACTGTTCATAAGGTTTCATTGCCATTCAGAGAGTAAGTCTGACCTCCTTCTAATTAACCACTGCCTATCCCTTCCCCTTTTTGACTGTATATTTGTTTCCTAGACTTCTCTAGATTGTGAACTCCACTGGGCCAGGCCTCAAGTCGATGCCAACAGTCTTTCTAGCCTAGCGTGACCCACATGAAGTAGTTTCCAGCTGCCCTGGCTTCATTGCTCAGTCCGGCAGCCAGAAGGCGCATGATTTAATCGGCCCCGCCCCGGCCCGCCCCTCAGAGCCTTACTTCCGGGATGTTTGAGTCGATGAGCAAGAAATACGGTCCCATAGGACATACTGCGCCTGTGTTTCGTCCTGCGCCTGCGCATTCCTGGCAACTCCTCCCAGACCGGACATAACGGTCCGCGCGCGGCTCCTCGAACCGGAAGTGGAGGCGAACTGTCGTGGGGCGCGCCGGGGCTTGCTCAACGCCCGGCAGTCTCTGCCGTCGCCGCCACCGCCCTCGGCAGCTGCTGAGGCCTCCCGCGGCCGCCATGTCCGCCAGCGCCGTCTACGTGCTGGACTTGAAGGGCAAGGTACAGACGGCTCCCCACCCTCCCCGTTGCCGGGCAACCGGCGAGGGCCTCCCCTCAACTGGGGGACCCACCCTGTTGCTAGGTAACCGGCCAGTGAGCCCCACCCTGGTGTTAGGTAAGGAGGCCGGTGGACCTCAGCTGAGGGCCCCACCCTGTTGCTAGGTAACGCAGTGGGTTGCAGCTGTTGCGTTACCAGGTCAGCAGCCGCATGGCCCCCTTCCCCCTAGTTCCCCGGGACAGGGACCCAGGCTTGGGGGGAGGACCGGAGGATGTGCCACAGCCAGACTTGGAGCCAGGCCTGGCACTGGTGGGCCGCTCGACCTTCGGCCGGGGGCGGCGAGGCGTGGCGGGGACAGTGTGCCCTCGGGCCTGCCCCGCCTTCTCAGGGCGCCGCCGCTTAAGTGTATATCCTGCACTTTCTCCTTGTAGGAATTTCTTAACGTTCATGGTGACGTTGAGTTACAAGAGTTAGGTGAGGTGGATGGTGGCAGCACCATTTTACAGAGGGAGAAACTGAGGCACAGAGAAGGGACGCAACCTGCCTAAGGTTACACTGGACACAGAGAAGTAGCAATTCTAGGAGTCCCTCCCAGACTCGTTTGTCCATTCAGCTGATGTCTGCAGAATATCTACTAAATGCCAGGCCAGGTGCTAAGCTCTAGGCTGCCTTGTTTGAGCAAAAACCAGTCCTTATCATTATGTAGCTCATGTGCTGGTCGGGGTGATGGTCACGGTGATGGTCACTAATCTTTAAGGGAACAAATAAATGTACTTTATGATGGTGGAGTATATACTAAGACAGTCAACCTCAGCTGGAGCAAAAGAGAGGGTTTCCTGAGAAGACAGGGACAAATTGTACTGAAACACGAGAGAGTTGGACATAAACTAGGACCCAGCCATATTCCAGGGGTACCTGGGAAAACTTAAAGGAAAGATCGTTTACACCATTCAAAAATGGGCTACTCTCTTCCCCCTAGTCCATCCCAAGTGGAAGGCAAGTGACTATCTGGCCTCTTACACGTGGAAGCTCAAGAACCCACTCAACAATGTTGAACCCGACAGTGGTTAGCCAGAGAAACAAACATGGGTTTTGGGTGCCATGTGGGTAGGATGAGCAGCTTGGCAGCAGTAGAGTGAAGAGGTGAAGTGTCTGCCCCTTCCTGCCCTACCCCCAGCGCTTCACTAATTCCACTGAGTGGGTGATACCCCAAATCAACAACTGGTGAGCCCCAGTGCTGGGCTTCCTTCCCTGACCTTCTTGGATGCAGGGAAGACACCTTTCTTGGAGGCATGCTAGCCTTTGGGTGGAGGCAGTGTTCACTGAGTCCTGGCCACTGCCTCCTCAGAGATGCCAGCAGGCTACTTGTCTCAACTTGCTTGTTCCTTCAGCAAACATTTCTCAAGTGCCCAGTGTATACTTAGTCCTGCGCCAGGCACAGGGTATTCTTTGGTGCCAACTATCTCACTGTGGATGTGGAGTTAGAACTAAGCTTAAAACGCATTTCTGCTGCTCATCTTGGGCAAGAGCCTTCTCCCCTTTGACTCTCAGTTTCCTTACTGGTGAAAAGAGGTGTTATGGAGTTTTTGTGTAGCCTTGCTGAGCAGACACATGAGACAGGCTCAGCACTGCCCACAGCTCACAGTATAGTATGTGTTAGCTGCCACAGGCCTCTTGGCCTAGCAGGGGAGTCGCAAGGAAGCAGAGACATTACCCAGCAGTTGGATCCAAGCAGCCAGAGGGGCAGGGACAAAGCGCCAGGTGATGCAGTTGCTCAACTTCATCTTTGGCCAGCAGAAAGAGAGGTGATTATAAAAGGTTCTGATGCTGGAGCTGGGTTTGGGAGGTGATCAGGTGACAGTCTGGTGGAAAAGAGGCGTCCCGTTGGGCGTGAAGGGCAAGGAACAGCCTCTGGGGCTGGAAGTCCTGAGTGATTATGGAGCCTGGATAATAGGTGTTAAGAATGTCCAGATGGGAGAGGAGGCCAAGGGGACAACTTTAATTCTAGAAAGGAAGAGTTACTGCAAGGAGATTATAGCCTGGAAGAAGCATGAACAGATCTGCCTTTTGGGAAGCTCCTCAGGGCAGCCATGGGCTTCCTTCCCTCCTTCCCTCAGCAGTCAAGATGCCCTTTATTATTCTCCCCACAGACCTCTTTTTGTTTCAAAAGTTTGCCTCCTGTGCATTTAATCAAAAATAAAACAATGGCATCTCAAGAAATTAATGCCCACAGAATTTGTCTGCCAAGCAGGGCCTCTCATCATTAAGGAAACCAACATGGCCATGTTGAGCTGGCAGGAAGCCTCCATGGACATGTCTCCGCTTTATCATCCATGCTCCTAAGCAACTTCTGACACCACTATCCACTTCACTTCCTTCCTTCGGGTCTCTATCTCGGTTTTCCTCCTGTTTTCTTTTCTATTTATTTATTTATTTGAGACAGTCTCACTATATCACCCTCGGTAGAGTTCTGTGGCATCACAGCTCACAGCAACCTCAAACTCTTGGGGTTAAGCGATTCTCTTGCCTCAGCCTCCCAAATAGCTGGGACTATAAGTGCCTACCACAACGCCCATCTATTTTTTGGTTGCAGTTGTTGTTTAACAGGCCTGGGCTGGGCTCAAACCTGTCAGCCTCATATGTGGCCAGCACACTACTCACTGAGCTACAGGTGCCAAGCTTTCTTCTTTTTTTTTTGTTTTCTTCTGTGAGACAGTCTTACTATGTTGCCCTCAGTAGAGTGCTGTGGCATCACAGCTGACAGCAACCTCCAACTCTTGGGCTCAAGCGATTCTTTTGCCTCAGCCTTCCTAGTAGCTGGGACTACAGGCCCCCGCTGCAGCACCTGGCTTTTTTTTTTATTGTTTGTTTATTTGGGTTTTTTTGGTTTAGTAGGCCTGGGCTGGATTTGAACTCACCAGCTCCAGAGCATGTGGCTGGCACCCTTAACCACTGAGCTGCAGGCACCCCTGTCCTCCTGTATCTCTCACCATCTGCTGGCCACTCCTTTTCTGCCCTTCCTGTGACTATTGAGTAGCCCAGGCATACCTCCCCATACTGTCCCTCTTCCTGGGTGGGCTTTATTTCATGTCAGTGGGCCACAACTCCTCAAATTTGCCCAGAGCGCCTATCTGGAGATCCACTGGCCTCTGGAGCACCATGAAGGTCTCACAGTCACCACAAATTCAGCATTCCCCCAATGAACTCTCTTTACCTTCTCTTTCCATCCCAGTGACACCGTCATCCATTCGGCTGTCTGCACTATAGACCTAAGCAGTATCCTTCTTTTTCCTCCTATCTTCCTTTCTCGTCTATCCTTTTTCTCCTTATTCCCATGGTCACTGCACAAATGTTTATTGAGCAGCTACTATGGGGTCAGACACTGTCCTAGTTGTTGGGACATAACTGTGAACAAGAATAGTCTTGGCTCAGCGCCTATAGCACAGTGGTTATGGTGCCAGCCATATAAACCAAGGGTGGTGGGTTTGAACCCTGCCCAGGCCAGCTAAACAACTGCAACCAAAAAATAGCCGGGCATTGTGGTGGGCACCTGTAGACCCAGCTACTTGGGAGGCTGAGGTAAGAGAATTGCTTAAGCCCAAGAGTTTGAGGTTGCTATAAGCTCTGATATCACAGCACTCTATGGAGGGTGACAGAATGAGACTCTGTCTCAATAAATAAATAAGAATAGTCCTGGAGGGCTTGGCACCTGTAGCTTAGTGGTTAGGGCACTGGCCACATACACCAGGGCTGGCAGGTTTGAACCCAGCCCGGGCCTGCTACACAACAATGGCAACTACAACAAAACAGAATAGCCAGGTGTTGTGGTGGGTGCCTATAGTCCCAGCTACTTGGGAGGCTGAGGCAAGAGAATCACTTACGCCCAAAAGTTTGAGGTTTCTGTGAGCTGTGACGCCACAGCACTCTGCCAAGGGCAACAAAATGAGACTCTGTCTCAAAAAAAGAAATAAAAAGAATAGTCACTGGAGAACATCAAACCATAAATGAGGATACAAATGTGTGAAGCAGCAGGTGATAGAGACAGTGAAGATAAAGTAGGGTCAGGATCAAGAGTGATGGGATGTGATCTCTCAGCCAGCACAAGCAGGGAAGACTTCTTGGAATAGGTACTATGTAGCTGAGTCTTGAGAAAAGAGAAAAGCCAGGATCAGACATTCTTGGTAGAGGGAACTGCAAGTGCAGAAGTCCCAAGGTGGGCACAAATATGGGCGGTGCAGACACCAGCTAAGGGGGCCAGGCTGGTTGGAGTAGCATGAGCCAGGGCAGTGTGGATAAAGAGGCATTGGAGGAGGTCTAAGCAGCCAGACTCCACAGGTTCTTGTGAGCCACCAGGACAGGCTTGGGCTCTGAGGCTGGGATAGGTGGCAGTTTCAGCAGGGGAAAGACCTTATCTGGCTTGTGTAAGAAGCTCCAAGCAGAGCCTCTGACATGTTAACTTGCCTCCCTCTGATCTGTCCCACAGGCCACAAGGAGAGACTAGGAGAGGAAGGTGCTTCCCCCCCACTCTTTCCTGGCTTGAAAGAATAAAGCCAATGTATGTAGTGGAATGACAGGTTCTGAAGTAGGCAGTTCCCAGGATGGTCAGCTCAGTGATGACATCCTGCAGCTGCAGCCTTGTGGACCCTGAGAAATGCAGTCATTCTAGGCAGCACCTCCAGTTATAGCAGTGCCAGGTGGGAAAGCTTCCAATCTCCGTTGGGTTTTTCTTTCTTTTAAGGAGGTATAATTTACATGTAACAAACTGCACTTATTTAAAGTGTACAGTTTGATGAGCTCAGTCATGTGTATATACCTGGGAAGCCACAGTCATACCCCCTAAAGCGTCTTCCTACCTCTTTGCTGTCCAGCCTTCTCCTAACCAGTCCCAGGGGTGTTTTTCATTAACCATTTTCTAGGATTTTATATAATTGCAGTCCTACAGGATAAACTCTCTTTTGTGTGATTTCTTTCACTCAGCACAGTGATGCAAATATGTCCACTGATCAGTATCATTCCTCTTCATTGCTGAGGAAATTTCTTCATGGTATTCCTGGACATTGTTTGCATATTTGCCTGTTGAGGGACATTGACAGTCTCTACTCTGGGCCTATTTGAATCAAAGCTACTATAAACATGTGTGTGCCAGTCTTCCTGCAGACAGATGATTTTATTTCTCTTAGCTGGGTCATATGGTAACTTTGAATTTTAACTTTTTGAGAAACTGCTAAACTTTACCAAAGTGGTTGTCCCATTTTACTTCCCCACAGCAGCGGACAGGGGTTCCAAAAGCTGTGCATGCTAACCCACAGGCTCTGTGTGAGAGAGACCAGGAGGAGGGCATCTCCTCTTTAGGCCACAGGTGGGTTCTAATACATATGAACCTCAGTGTTGGAGGCAGGAGAGCAGGGCACATTAGCATGGGAGAGGCTCTGAAGAGGTCTGCGTTCAGAACCTGTAGGGCATCGTTTAACACAGTATCTCTGAGTGGTTTAGTCCCAATCTTTGCCCCAGGGTCTTCTCCCACTCACACCCTAAAAAGAACTGCAGTGGCCCCTGTGGAAGTTCACTTTGGGAGAAGCTCTTCAAGGTGGTCCCTGGGAAATGGAAATCAGAATGGCCTATGGTTACACCGTTTCACAGACAGGGGTCATGATCAGGGTCCCCAGAGGGAGACAGGCTGGCATGTCTCACTCTGGGATTATAAAACACAAAAGGAAAACATGTTCCCTCTTCCTTGCCCCAGGTGCTTATCTGCCGGAACTACCGCGGTGACGTGGACATGTCAGAGGTGGAGCACTTCATGCCCATCCTGATGGAGAAGGAGGAGGAGGGGATGTTATCACCCATCTTGGCCCATGGAGGGGTCCGCTTCATGTGGATCAAGCACAACAATCTTTATTGTATCCCTTTGTCAGGAGTTCCTGGGGCACATCCATGCACACATCCAGACCCAGGGCCGGCTCTGGCACAGCAGGAGCTATCAGACATAGCTCTGCTCTCCTGGAGCTCCCTGCTGTCTGAACAGATGCGACATGGGTGACAGGTACTGGGAGAGGAGAGGGTGTGACGGAGACCCAGGAGGAGGTGACATCCTAGAGGAGACCTGCAGGAAGGCCAGGCTTCTGCCAGTGGAGGAGCAAGTGGGCATTAGGCCTCCCCAGTTAGCATCTGCATTGTAGCAAGATCATTCCTGGTGACTTGTGTGCTTGTTCTGCTGTGGGCTGTGTTGGTTCGGGGCCTTGGTCTGGCTCCTGGGGTGTGCTCGGGTTCAGACTTCACCATGCTCTGGAAGGGCCTCAGGACAGCTCTGAGGGGTAAACTGGGCAGCCTATAACCCAAGGAGTTGACTGCCCTGTGAAGCCACCCTGGAGGAGGAGGCCAGCACTCATGACTAGGTGACACCCATTCCTGGGCCCTTCTGCTGAGCTAAGAGTGAAGCAGGAAGTGATGTGCCTCTGCCCTTTCTCCTTCCCAGAGCTTGCTGTTGGCATATCAGCCAGGTGGCACAGACTGAACAGAGACATCCAGGGCACAGTGTGTGACCCTGTAGAGGAGGAACCTCCCTTTCCTGGTGGTTTAAGACCTGTTAGGGAAAGAGGAACAGGAAGCGCTCAGCATGTACTGACCCCCAGGAAGCAGGGACTGACTCCCATAGCGAGGGAGAGTCTGTGCCAGGCACTTTATATACTTCACCTCAGTGATTTCACCTGCCAGAGAGAAAGTCGAGATTTCTCTGAAAAGGTTTGTTTCAGGGACCAAGGCTCATGTAAAGCCAGGAAGGGCTAGAGCCAGAATTGGCCGTGGCTATTTCCTGCAGAGTCTGGCAGGGGAGCCCTGGACTTCAGCAGGGTCACAGAGTGATCAGCTTTAGAGTAGCAGGGCCAATTGTGTTCTCCTTTCCACTTCTGGAATGAGCCCCACTCAGGGGAGCCAGGACAAGTACCCTGTGCTACCTATGATTCTCTGTGTTAACAAGCACTCCCTGGGGGCTGGGACCATGTCTGGCTGATGAGGGCTGCATCCCAGGCCTGGCTCAGACCAGGAGCTTGGTGACTCACCATGGACCAAGTGAAATGGCTGGGAGTGTAGGTGGGGAGGCTCTGAGCCCAGCATGGGGTAAGAGGGTTTCCTTCATGGACTATGGTCTATGAGACGGCAGCCCAGGCCTCTCTACGTTCCTTAACTGCAGCCGCCATGCAGTGGTCGCCACTTCCAAGAAGAACGCATGTGTGTCACTGGTGTTCTCCTTCCTCTATAAGGTGGTGCAGGTGAGTCTTACTGTGGGGGACAGGGGGGAGTGGCAGTTGTCTTGACTGTACTTCTGTACCTCCCCATGCATGGCCACCCGAGCCAGAGCTGCAGCATCCCCAGGGAGTTCTGCTGCTAGAACCCCAGGAAGTGGGAAGGCGGAGCCCCATCCCACCCCCACCTGTGGTCTTTTATCACTTCCTCACCCTGATGAGGAGGAAAGTGAAAAGGAGAAGGCGGGGCCTGAGCACGGGAGGGACAGGCAAGCCCCCCTCAGCCAGCTGTGTAAAGATTTTTGCTGCAAATTGGGGGTAGAGAAGTGTAATAACTGGCAGGAGTGATGAACCCAGGTCAGCTCAGAATCTCCTCAGGGACTTTGAAGGTATAATACCCCAAACCTGCCTTAGAGAAAAGTGACACATGCCAAGCCCAGGGTGACAATGAGCTAGGGAGATAGCAACACACGCAAAGGCTCTGGGACAGGCGTGGGAAGCTGTCAGGGAACACCAGGGATGCTAGCAAAGGGGGCAGGATATGGGGTGGGACTGTGCAGGAGTGTGGGTTTCATTCCACATCTGGTAGGAGGTAGTGGAGAGCTTTAAACAGGAGACCAACAAGACCAGGTTTGATTTAAAGCAAGATCTTTGGCTGTTGAGTAGAGGAAGAACTTGAAGAGGCTGCTGTAGACTTCCTGGTCGAGGTGGGGCTGTGAGGCTGAAGAAAGTTGGGAACAAGACCCAGGAGGCTTGGGGTGGACCCAGGAAAGCTTTCATCCCTCAGGGGGCAACACCTGTGCAGAACACTTGACGCCAGGGCAGGCCTAGATGGTGAGGGTGCAGGGACAGGAGAGCAGTGCATTCTCCTGGGAAGGCCCCACATGCAGGCCAAGGGCTGGCTATTGCTTGGGAGCAGTGGTGCCATCACAGTCAGGCTGGGCCTGGCTGTCCTGCCTGTGATTTCCAAGCAGAGGCTGAGGTGATTTACTTTCCAGTAAAATGGGGAAGATACGCAAGCACAGGGACCTTCCTATGGGAGGGGACGTCAGCAGATAAGAGAGCCGGTGGATGCAGGCAGAGGAAGGTTCTCCTCCCCCCAGTGTTGGGCATTTCTTTTCTGCTTTAGTGATGTTCCTTTGGTGTTAATGCTAACAAAAGAGCTTCTGCCAGGCAAGTGTGGTGGCTCACACCTATAATCCTAGCTATTCAGGAGACCAAGGCAGGAGGATCACTTGCGGCTAGGAGTTTAAGACCAGCCTGAGTAACATAGCAAAACTCCTCTAAAAAATTTTTTCTTGGCTCTGCACCTATGGCTCAAGTGACTAAGGCGCCAGCCACATAAGGTGGTGGGTTCAAATCCAGCCCAGGCCCGCCAAAAAACAATAATGATGGCTGCAATCAAAAAATAGCCAGGCAGTGTGGCAGGCACCTGTGGTCCCAGCTACTTGGGAGGCTGAGGCAGGAGACTCGCTTAAACCCAGGAGTTGGAGGTTGCTATGAGCTGTGATGCCACAGCACTCTACCCAGGGGGACAGCTTGAGGCTCTGTCTCAAAAAAAGAAAAAAAATTTTTTTTTCTTAATTATCTGGGCATAGGGGTGCATGCCTGTAGTCCCAGCTACTTGGGGGACTGAGACAAGAGAATCATTTGAGCCCAGCGGTTTGAGGCTGCTGTGAACTATGACCTTGCCTCTGCACTCCAGCCTGGGCAATAGAGCAAGACCTTGTTTCTAAAAAATAGGGGAGACTTGGCGCCCATAGCACAGTGGTTATGGTGCCAGCCCCATACACCAAGGCTAGCGGGTTTAAAACCGGCCTGGGCCAGCTAAACGACAACCACAACAAAAAATAGCCGGGTGTTGTGGTGGGCACATGTAGTCACAGCCATTTGGGAGGCAGAGGCAAGAGGATCGCTTAAGCCCAAGAATTTGAGGTTGCTATAAGCTGTGACACCACAGCACTCTACTAAGGGCAACATAGTAACACTCTGTTTCAAAAAATAAATAAATAAAAAATAGGGAAAAATAATAAGTTAACAAAACAGCAGCTTCTGACAAGCTCCTCTTGTTCTTGGTGCCCCTTCTTTAACCTGAACTTTCCAGTAAAATGGGGAAGATACGCAAGGGCCAGAAGGAAGGGCTTTCAGCCATCACCCAAGTCGTTGCTGACTTGGAGGCAAGGGGTGACTGTTACAGCTGGGATTTAAGGGAGGCTTAGGAGAGGCTACAGCTTGAGGAAAAGCAACACAGGGTTGGGATGGGCGTTTCTGCCCAGGCCTCAGAGGACGTCTGCAGTAGTGCCAGCCTGGTTCCCGCTGCATGGATAGCCACTGCCCTCGCTCCCACTTTCCTGGGCCCTGTACCCTAGAAAGTGGGCAAAAGGGCTGTTGGCTTGGGGCCTCAGGTTTTAGAGGACACATGCTTTCATACAAGTAGTCACATCCTTTCTCATCCTTCTGAACAACCTGCCTGCCTCCAACTCTGCAGGTATTTTCCGAATACTTCAAGGAGCTGGAGGAAGAGAGCATCAGAGACAACTTTGTCATCATCTATGAGCTGTTGGATGAGCTCATGGACTTTGGCTACCCCCAGACCACTGACAGCAAGATCCTACAGGAGTGAGTGGGCCACGGGAGGGTGAGGGGGTCTGGCCTGGGCGGTTTTATGACATGCATGTCATCAGGTTTGGGAAAGGAAGAGGCAAATGTTTCCGCGTTCATCTTCCCATCTCCAGCCACATATGGGTTTTTATTAAGTTGCCCTCAGTGGTTTTGGATCCTTTTTCATTCAACAATCCCTTCATAACATGAGTGGTTTTACTAGTGCCTGGTCTTTATTTTCCAATATGTAGATGCACCAAATCCCTTGGTATTAGAAAGTTACCTGCCTTTGTTTTTATAGTCATAAATGATACTATAATGAAAATCCTCCTTCTTTGGAGTCCTGTCCTTCAAATTATGGCCAGATAAGTATTTTGCAAGCACTTAATTCAAAGTCTTCCCACTCACCTTCTCCCCATTTTATAGGGAGCAAATGGACACTAAGAGAAGTCTGTGTTTCTATCCACTGTGCCTGTCACTCCCCAAGTGGGATCAGTGTTCACCAGGTTACCATCCCCAGGCTCAGTTCCGTCTGCATGTACAGCAGGGATAGGGGAACAGCTCACACCCACTTGTTCTTCTCCTTAACACTGTCTCTTTGCTCCTCCCCCCACCCCCAAAAAAAATTAATACTTAAGGGCCATTATAACTTGAGTCTGTTGGTTTTTGGAAATTTTTAAGGTTTTCTTAATCAGACCCTGGTGAAACCAGAGGCTGCCTTTTCTGGACCCTAATGAAATTGAGGGCCTTTTTGCATGTTGGTCAGGTCCTTCCCCGTTCCCACTGTGGCTCTGCTGAAATATCAGGGCCAAAAACTGTGGTGTTGGTGCAGGTGCCCCCCTCCTTAACTCTGGGTGTGTGGCCCCACAGATATATCACTCAGGAAGGCCACAAGCTGGAAACAGGGGCTCCACGGCCCCCAGCCACTGTTACTAATGCAGTATCCTGGCGATCCGAAGGCATCAAGTATCGGAAGAATGAGGTGTTTTTGGACGTCATTGAGTCTGTCAACCTCTTGGTAGGTCTTTCTTTGTTTCTTTCGTTTTATAAAATGTCTCTTCCATGATAGAAATAAACACACAAAATTTTTTTTTTTTGAGACAGGGTCTCAGTATGTCGCCCTCAGTAGAGTGCTGTGGCATCACAGCTCACAGCAACCTCAAACTCTTAGGCTTAAACAATTCTCTTGCCTCAGCCTCCCAAGTAGCTGGGACTATAGGTGCCTGCCACAACACCCAGTATTTTTTGTTGCAGTTGTCATTGTTTTAGCTGGCCCCGGGCTGGGTTCGAACCCTCCAGCCTCAGTGTATGTGGCCGGTGCGGGAACCACTGTGCTATGGGCGCTGAGCCAACACAAGTACAATTTTAAAACTAGCAAAGTCCCAAGAACCATTTTGCTTTCATGTGTTACAGATCAGCAGGTTTCAGTTTGGGCCCCTCTTTGAAACTTGAGCTTCTTTTATCTTCATTCGATTTTGGTCTGATTTAGAATCAATAGATGGACATTGTTTGTTTTTATTTTTGTTTTTAAAAAAACAGTGTATAAAGTTAGAAAGCAAAGTGCTTCCATAATCAGAAAGATTCCCCGCCCTTAAAGATGTATTTACTGTCATCCTCTCAGGCCTCATTCTTTAGACACACAAACATACATTGTTTTTCTATAAAACTAAGTTCCTAAGATGTGGTTCTCCTGTAACATTTTTTTAGGGGGGTTTTGTGTTTTGTTTTACTGTTTTGTACATGTTGGGTTTTTCTTTTTTAATTTTATTTAAGTTATGAGTAAAGTTGACCTTTTTAAAATGAATTTTGCTACTTATACAAATTTGTGTACCTGTCACAGCAGTCAGGATACTGAACCTTAAAACCTCCCTCGTGCTGCCCCTTTGTAGTCCTGCTCTCTGCCCTTCCCCATTTCCTGGCAGCCCACCACTGGTCTGTTCTCCATCACTATACTTTTTGTCTTTTTGAGATTGTCATATGAATGGCTTTGTGTGACACTGTAGTTGTCTCTTTGAGATTGTTGTATGAATGGCTGTGATATAGTATGGGACCTCCTGAGTCTGGCTTCTTTCACTCAGCATGATGCCATTGAGATTCATCCAAGTTTTGTTATATGTATCAGAATTTTGTTTCTTTTTGTATTTATTTAGATTTATTCTACATTGTGAACCACGGTTTGTTTATCCATTCATCCATCAAAGGATGTTTAGGTTGTTTTCCAGTTTTTGGCAATTATGAGTAGAGTTGCTATAAACATTTCATGTACAGGTTTATGTGTGGACATAAGTTTTCATTTCTCTAGGGTAAATACCCAGGAGTGGGATGGCTGGGTCACACGGTAAGTGTATGTTTAACTTTATAACAAACTGCCAAACCATTACCATTTTGCATCCTCACCAGCAGCGGATGAGAGTTCTGGTTGCTCCACATCCTTGGTCAGTAATTTTATTTTTGCCATCCTAATAGATATGTTGTGGCATCTCAGCATAGTTTTAATTTGCATTTCCCTAATGGCTAATGATGTTGAACATCTTTTTATGTTTCTTTGTCATCCATATATCCTCTTTTGAGAGTATCTCTTTGTGTCTGTTGAGCATTTTTAAATTAGGTTGTTTGTTTTCATATAGTTGAGCTTTAAAAGTTCTTTGTATGTTCTAGGTATGAGTCCCTTGTTAGGTATGTGACTTGCAAATATTCTATATTTTGTATAGCTTGTCGTTTTATTTTCTTTAGCAATGTCTTCCAAAGAGGAAAAGCTTTTAATTTTTATGAAATCAAATTATTATTTTTGAGACAGAGTCTCACTATGTTGCCCTCAGTAGAGTGTTGTGGTGTCATAGCGCACAGCAACCTCAAACTCTTGGGCTTAAGTGATTCTCCTGCCTCAGCCTTCTGAGTAGCCGGGACTACAGGCTCACACCACAACATCAGGCTATTTTTTGGTTGCAATTGTCAATGCTGTTTAGCAGGCCTGGGCCAGGCTTAAACCCATGTGGCTGGCAACCCACCAGCCTCTGTGTATGTGGCTGGCGCCCTATTCACTGAGCTACGGGCACCAAGCCAAATTATCAATTTTTTTTAAGTGGTTGTGCTTTTGGTGCCATATCTAAGAAGTTATTTCTAAACCCAAGGTTGTATAGCCCTAAGTTTTCTTCTGAAAGTGTTATAGTTTTACATTTATAGCTATGATCAGTTTTGTTTTGTTTTGTTTTGTTTTGTCATTGTTGTTGTTGTTGCAGTTTGGCTGGGGCCAGGCCCAAACCTGCCACCCTTGGTATATGCGGCCAGTGCCCCACTCACTGGGCCACAAGCGCCACCTGCTATGATCAGTTTTGCATTAAATTTTAAACCTTGTTTAATGTGTGAGGGTTATAGCCAAGTTAATTTTTTTGCATGTGAAATAAGTTTTTGCAATTGTTCTGACACCATTTTTTGAAAAGACTGTCCTTTCTTCATTGATTGCTTTTACACTTTTGTGTAAATTGGCTTTATTTGTGTGGTTCTGTTTCTGGACTGTATTCTGTTCCCTACCTGTTCCTTTTGCCAATACCACACTGTGTGGATTATTGTAACCTTATAGTAAATCTGAAAATCAAATGGTGTGATTCTTCTAACATTCTTTCTTAAAGTTATTTAAGCCATTCTACTTTCTTTGTATAGAATTTTAAAATCAGCTTGTCTAGGTCTACAAAAATCCTGCTGGGACTTTGATTGGTATTATGTTAACTCTATAGATCAGTTTGGGGACAATTGATATTTTTACCATATTAAATCTCCCAATCCATGAACACAATTTCTCTCTCTCTCTCTCTAAATATATATATATATATGTATACACACACACATATATATATATGATGCATATTGCATATGTCATCCTTGATTTCTTTCAATGTTTTGTAGTTTTTACCACGTACATGTGTTTATATCTAATTATTTCATTTTTTAAAGCTTTTATAAATTGTATATTTTTAAATTTCAGTTTCCAGTGAGATATTGCTAGGGTATAGAAATATGATTGATATTTGTGTGTTGACCTGATATCCTGCAATCTTGCTAAACTCACTTCTTCTAGAAGTGTTTTTAGATTCCTTGGGGCTTTCTACCAGAGATGTGTTAGCTGCAAGTACGGATAGTTTATTTCTTCCTTTTCAAAAGTTCTCTTTTTCTTGACTTCTTACCTCATTAAGATTTCCAGTACAATGTTAAGTACAAGTGGTGAGAGTGAACCTTGTTCCTGATCTTAGAGGAAAAGCATTCAGTCTTTCACCATCAAGTAGGATGCTAGCTATAGGTTTGTTGTAGATGTCCTTTTCACATTGAGGAAGTTCTCTTTTATTGCTAGATTGCTGAAAGTTTTTTTTTTTTATTATGAATGGATGTTGTGTTTTGTTAAATGCTTTTTCTATATCAATTGATGTGATCACGTGAGTTTTCTTCTTTAGATTGTTAATATGGTGGATTCTACTGGCTACTTTCTGATTATTGAACCAGCCTTGCATTCCTGGAATAAACTCCAGTGGGTCATGATGTATTACAGGTTGAGTATCCCTTATACAAATGCTTGGGACCAAAAGTGTTTTGGAGTTTGGATTTTTTTTGGACTTTGGAATATTTACATATACATAATGAGGTATCTTGGGGATGGAACTCAAGTCTAAATGGGACTTGGACATTTAGACAATTAAGTTTACAATTAATTGAACAATTAAGTTCACAAATTTATCCTAGAAAAGTGCTACACACCTAATTGCTGACTGTCACTATGGTCACCTTTGAAGTAGTCCTCTTTGGAAAGTTACACACAAACACCAGAGCATAGTCCACTCTTTAAAACAATTTTGAAGGCCTTGGTGCCTGTAGCTCAGTGGGTAGGGTGCCAGCCACATACATGGAAGGTGGTGGGTTTGAGCCCAGGCTGGGCAGCTAAACAACAATGACAACTGCAATCAAAAAATAGCAGGGAAATGTGGCAGGTGCCTATAGTCCCAGGTACTCAGGAGTCTGAGGCGAGAGAATAGCTTAAGCCCAAGAGTTTGAGGTTGCTGTGAGCTGTGATGCCATGGCACTCTACCAAGGGTGACATAGTGAGACTCTGTCTCAAAAAAAAAAAAAACAACAATTTTGGAACTCTTTCTCTGGAATGACCATCAGAGCTGTCTTCATACAATTAAGTCTGTAGACTTATCCTGGGAAAAGTGTTGTGAAGGGTGGACTAGGTGCTGGTGTCAGTGAAAGTACTCTGATGGTGATTGTAGTGATAGCAATGAGATATGTAGCACTTATTCAACATACTTTTTGTGGATGAGTTCTCAAAGTTGTCAGTCCTCATATATATTTTATGCAAATAGCTGGATGTCACATAAGATCAGGTGTAAAATTTCCCACTTGTAGGGTCAGGTCAGTGCTCGAAAGTTTCAGATTTGGGAGCATTTCAGATTTTGGATTAGAGTTATTTACATTATTTTTATATATTATTTGGTTTCATTTGCTAATATTTTGTTGGCGATTTTTGGATCTTTATTCATATTGGTCTGTTATTTTCCTTTTCTTTGAAATGTTTTTATCTGGTTTTGGTATCAAGATAATGGAGTCCTCATAAAATGAATTAGGAAATGTTCCTTCCTCTTCTATTTTCCAGAAGACATTGTGTAGAATTGATGTTAATTCTTCTTTAAACATTTGTTAGAATTCACAAGTGAAACTCTTTGAGCCTGGAGATTTAGTTGTTTTTTTCTTTTTTTGGAGACAGAGCCTCAAGTTGTTGCCCTGAGTAGCCTGCTGTAGCATCACAGCTCACAGCAACCTCCAACTCCTGGGTTTAAGCGATTCTCTTGCCTCAGCCTCCCAAGTAGCTGGGACTACAAGTGCCAGCCACAATGCCCAGATATTTTTTGGTTGTAGTTGTCATAGTTGTTTGGCAGGCCCAGGCTGGATTCAAACCCGCCAGCTCTGGTGTATGTGGCTGGCACCTTAGCTACTTGAGCTACAGGCGCCAAGCCTGAGATTTAGGTTTTT